TAGAGGAACTTGTGCGGTAGATGGGACTGGAGGTGGCGCCGGTGTGGTTCCCTCTATACCGACACATCCACCACCTCATTGGTATACATAATTCCACAAGCCAACATGTACTCCGATGGGGGGCATACTGACCCTTCCTGCAAAAGTCACCTGCAAGCAAGAAAGTAAATTTAATTAGTATAGCTACTTACTACTAAAAATGAAAGTACAATAATACGTAGTAAAAAGAAAGAGCAACACTAAATTGCACGTGTACAATTTACAGACTACGAAAACTGAAAAACATAAAAACACATTGTAAATGGAAGGAAAAACTACAAAGTGCAATATACAAATTACTGAAAATGAAAACTTAGAAGTACAAAGTAAAAACAATATTAGAAAGAGATGCCTTAATGAATTTAACGATCTTCTACATACCTAACATCAATATGATTTACACATATATATTGCACATTTATAATTAGCCATCTTCTCTTCCCTAATTTTTATGTATCTCAATTTAACTTCGTTTACATCGATATATAGAAGCAAGAAGGTTGATGGATCTGACCAAGATAATTTAGATATTTATTTACAAAACATGTGTATGTGCGTTTGCGCGCACGCACGTGTTTCTTTTTTGAAGAAAATTTATGAGGACATCCCTTTTATTAGCATGTAAGAATTTAATATTTTCTAGATTTTACTTTCTTGTTTTATAAAATAACAACCAACACAATTAATTATCAATTATGTTTTAACTAGGAAAAAAACATCTACATTTATATGGAATTGGATATCCTCTTATCAATTTTTTTTTAAATTTGGTTTTCTTCTTTATAGATATTCAAGGTTTAGCCATGGAAATTGGAACAACTCACACTATCATAAACAACTTGAAAGACCAAAACCTATTTTAGAAGCACATGAAATGATCAGATTATAGAAGAAGTAAGATAATGAAATATTACCAGATCTGAATCTATCCTTAACCATTAATACACCAAGCAAAAAAGTAGAAGAAGAAGAAGAAGAAGAAGAAGAAGAAGAAGAAGAAGAAGAAGAAGAAGACCTAACTAGCTCTACCCCCT